TTTTTAACTTTCTGTAGGTTAAGTTATAGTAATAGCAAAAAAATCGAAAATGAAATTTTTTTATATATCTTTACGTTTCAACACCGTCTGAGCATTTTGGCATACCTTAGAAAAAATTGATGTATGTGTGTGTGTGTGCGGATACAAATTTTCGTCAACGATTTCGGGAACACGGTTCAACCGATTTGAATAATTCAAAAAGCATTCGATTCCTATTAATAAGGAGACATGCTGATTAGTTTTTGGCGAAGGTAGGTCCAGTTTTTTTTAGAGATACGGAGCAAAGAGAACAGAAAATAGAAATCGAGAACGGAGCGTCTGATTTTAATAATTCAAAAAACATTTTACTTGTATTGACAAAATGAAAAACTGAATATAATAATAAGTATAAATTTTGTTAACATTTCTATGGGTTCCGTAACATTGTTTGTGCGTTAGAAGACGACGCGGCGCTTACGCGCTTTTATAAATAAAAATATTCTCTCGATTGCTTTAAAAAAGGTTTAAAGATTCCAAAATATTTCAAAATATATAAAAAAACAATCATTTAAAAAAAACACTTTTTTAAAATTCTATTTTTTTTTTTAATCTTTTCTAATAAAAAAATAATTTTTGGTCCGGGAAGTTTCAACAATTAACCTTAAGACACGATGCCATACACCACTAGTTCCGTTTTTCTCTAGTATCAGTTTTTCTGTCCTTGGATAAACATTTTGTGAACCCCTTTCGGTCATTATTTCTCTGTTGCATTTATTTCGAATTTTCAAAATCATGCGGTTAATTAAAAATAATTTATTATTATATTCTTATTTCAAAATTTTTATTTTATTACAAAATAATATTCTATTTTTTCGGTCCTTAGATCAACTTATGTGAACCCTGTTTGAAATCTTGCATTTATACCGTCGAACGTTTTCTTATGACAACTTTATTAATATTTTTATATTTTATTTTAATTCAAAGCTTAGCTTCTTTTGGTTTTTATAAAACAATGCGTTAGTTTTATTTATATATATATATTTTTTCTGGTTTGGTATTGTATAATTTTTTTTTATAATATTTAGTTTTTATAGATTTTTGTATACATTTCTTTTCTAACTTGGTGATTGATGACACACATACAGTGTCGAAACGTACATAATAAATAGATGACGTATTATTATTTTTTAGACCTTTTTGGTGGTCCTTAATATGGACACTTTTTAATTTCTTTGCTCCCAAGGGCTCAAATGCTTCCAAATCAATAGAAACAAAAATCTGTGAAAATTTTAGTTCCTAATATTAACATTTAGAAAGTCCGCAAATCAATTGAAAGTTTCGAATATTTATTATTAAGTAAATTCTTGCACCATCTGTGATAGCAGACTCGTGACTTTGATAGCAATTCATTACTGATAATTTGAGTGCCAACATAACCAATTAAATAAATATTTTGCTGCAAAATTAATTTTGATGCATGATGAATAAATGTTTTGTTAAACTGTTCACATGGATTTAAATAGAGGTTAAGTGATTTATGAATATTTTTAAGTGAGTTCACAAATGCTATCACATATGGCGCAAGAATTTACTTAATAATAAATATACGAAACTTTTAATTGATTTGCGGACTATCTGAATGTTAATATTGCGAGCTAAAACTTTGAGAGAATTGTTTTTTATAAAATTGGAAGCATTTGAGCCCTTGGGAACAAAGAAATTCGAAAATGTCCATATTAAGGACTACCCGTATAATATAAATTTCTGACCTCAAAATAAATTTATTCAAGGAACAACCACGAGCAAAATTCTCAGCACTTTGGATGCTTTAGACAGACACAATTTTGAGAAGATGGACACTACAAATTCTTTAGACACGTTATATGCAAAAATATTTACACCGTTCAAGGATAACACTGAAAACACTTCTAAAGAAAACAGGATGGAATATGTAAGTAACCACTTATTACAAATTAAATATATATATATATATATATATATATATAATATTGATTTATTATATTATATTTTTTTCATAGAATCCAGAACAAGATTCAGCTGTCGTGTCAATTTTGTGTGAGTGGGCAGTTTCCTGCGAACGATGGGGAGAGCATCGAGCCATGGCTGTTGCTTGGTTGCTCGATAAAAGACAGAGCGATATTACACAAAGTGATAATGATAATTATAACAATATGAGTGGTAAGTAAGACATTTTGCTGTAATTGTTTACTTCCATACATTGTGCTAGTGAATCATACTGAATACTGTCAAAATGTCACGTATTTGCTGTGCACTCAGGCGTTTTACACGTAAACTGCAATGTCACTCTTATGTTATGAAGCTGGGTCAGAAAGACCCTGTTATTATTTTATTATTCAGAAATTTTATTTATATTATTTATTAATTTTATTTTTATTATTTGCTTCTATTTTATATTAAATCATCATATTACGGATATTATTTTCATGTAAATTATATCCTTTGCACTTTTATTTTTTATCAATATTACTAGATGTTAATTATTCAACAGTTATAATAATTATTGAAATTAAAAAAAAAAGAGGGACCCTGTTATCTATGATCGCTTTTTTTGACATTTGTACAGTTTCTACGTTATGTTTTCTATCCGACAATCTGAAAAATACACCTGACTACGCAGCCACCGCATGGCTTTTGGCAATATTCAGTATGGAAAGTTCTTCATAACATAACCTTGCCATAACTTTGGTCTGTTGTGCGGCAGAATCGGTCACTAAATAAATATCGAATCATCAAATGTTATTGCTCAATTACCTATTTATTTCCAATTAACATATTAATTTTCTAAAAGTATTTTATGTATAACATATTATTACATATTTATAAGATTATGTTACTATGAAGTTGTTTGAGTTTGAATTTGAATTTGAATTTAACGGCCGTCGGCGCGAACACAAAAGGGATGTGAAGTTAGCTGTGAAATTGTCCAGGAGTTACAAAATGGCGGAGATTGTCCTTTCAAATTAATGGCGCAAAATTTGAAATGTAAATTAATGAATTTTAGTAATCGGGTATTTAAAACTAAATTTGGTATTACCTTCGTATTATGTTTTGTAATCATTCAATAACAACAAAAATATACTAGATAATGTTATCTTCTATATATATAAAAATAAGTCGGGATTTCCTCCCTGACAAAATAACTCCAGAACGCACGAACCGATTTCGACAATTTTGCATTCGTTGGAAAGGTATCGGACTCCGCAAGGTTTGTATCTAAGAAAATTAGTTGTGCATGGCATCGTGCCTTAATGCAAGCTGCTGGAACTTCATGCACCCTAATTAAAAATTCGAGTAATGACATTAGTGAGAACCATCAGAATTATGCTTGGTTAAGTCAACGAGCAATTCTTGCCGCAAAGAATAATGATGTACACGCACTGAATTTCACCATTCAATCAAAAATTGTTAGCGATTTGGTGACATACCAATGATTCCGACTGGTCTTCCGTTTGACTTCAAACGATTGCAATTTCCGCCAATCGCTTAGTGTTAAATTTCAAATATATTAATTAGAAAATTATTGTTTTTCACATGGGCGGTTATACGTTGCCTGTTCACGAGTTGAAAAACCATTCGCTTTGTTTGTGTTAACGACGTCAGACCAAAAAACAAAAAATGAGGTTTACCAAAGAGCACTTCAATGAAACGGATAATTTGCGGATTCACTTTCATTCACTTAGAGAAGTTCAACTAAAAAACACTGTTATTCTTAACTCTTATTAACTAATAATCATCCCGTGCAAAATTTGACATTCTTAAGCATTTCATTTTCTTTCAAGTATATTTAGATCTGAGTAAAGTGGTAATCCAATTTTGAGCATCTGAAAGATTTATATATATTTTGTCTTTCTTGTAGAAGCTGCTTATACTTGATTTCTTACATAATTTACTACAACTTGTCTCTTTTCTCAAAGTGTAATATGATTAGACTAAGGGGGCGTTTATAAATCTCGTGATTTATTTTTTTTAAGGATTTTTGGACTCCCCCCTCACCCTTGGTGATATTCAAAGTCACTCCTCTCCCCCACCAAACATCAAGTGTGTTTTTAGTTACGAGAAAAAATTGTAAAATTTTTGATATATTTTTTGTAAATATTTGGATTTAAAAAAAATATGAGGTAAATAATATGACGTTGGGGAATGATATTTCGTGATTTTTTATCAAATTCCTCCTACCTCTAAAAAGATCACGTCCCCTAAACGGTTCAAATTTGTAATTGAAAATAAAACACGGCGAAGCGTGTATGGGTACACAGTTAGTTTCCTATAGAATGTAAAATTGTAAATAAAAAAAATATTAGATTTTTTTCAATTCATTTGCGATTCACTTGTTTTTTCTTGTGATTCTTTGTTCATATGTTTTTGGTGACTATTTCTATTTTCGAGTGTTATGTATTTTATTGTACTGTAAGTCGTTTATCCTTTCCATAAAATTCATAATTTAAGTAAATTAATTGTTCCAGTCGATTTCATATATTGCATAATCTTTTTAAATATATCCATTTATTTTCTATTCCTCAAAATAGATCTTATATTATATACAATAAACTATTTCGAAAGGGGCTATACAACCCCCCACCCTCGATATTATTATTATAGGGGCTATTCAACCCCCCATCCTCAAATATTATTATATATGTATTTATCATTTATATTTTTTTTTTATTTTCAGGTAATTCAGACGACAAAGACTCTGTCAGTTCTGGTGCAGGTGTTCCTGGTGGTGTACCGATATTTCAATCACTTTTGATGAATTTTTTAGATAATGATGCTCCTATATTAGGTAATAATTGTATTTTAAATATTTAAGGTAGAACGGGGTTTTTAAAGATCTACCGGCAAACAAGTCAAATATAGTATTTCTTATCTATACTATTTTAAAGTAGAGGGCAAAAAGTGTATAACCAGCCATCGCCATTTTGAAGATTGTATATAGGATATATGATTGTATAGAATAATGTAGGTGGCTAAATGCTCGAGTAAGCGAGGCCAATAAAAAAAAAAAAAAAAATGGCTTTAAATTTTGCGACGGAGATAAATGACCTCTTCGTCAATTTTGTAACAAATTTATAGGTAGTTTTTCCTTTATTACCTAATTTAAAAAAAAAATCTTTTTGCCCTGACTGATCCCACAGCATTTTTGTGTACCATTGTTTTAAATATTTAATTACAACTTTGTTCTTATATTTTTTTTTTGCAGAAGACCCTCCAACTGCTGCCAATAGGACCCAATTCACTAATTTAGTTCATCTATTTTCTGAACTAATAAGGCACGATGTATTCTCTCATGACGCTTACATGTGTACTCTTATATCTCGAGGAGATTTATTAACTGGAGGAGTCCAGGTAATGAGATAAAACAAATTTGATTTAAAAGTCATGTAGATGTATTAATTTTTTATTTTTTTATATTAGAATGGAGCAATTAATAATGGATGTGCTCCTGCACCTCATTCTAATAAACCTGCCACGCCAGCCAATCAAAGTTTAGAAGACGATCTTTTTGGAGGAATTGAACTTAAACCAAAATTAGAGGTAAACTTTTGATAAAAGTTATTTATTTTGAAACGTTTTGAAATTTTTAACAGTCTTTTTTTCATTCTTTTAATTTTTTTTTGCTTTTTTCTTGTTTTATTTTTCTATTTAATAAAAGCTTTTAATAAAACTTATATATTTTTAACACATTTTGTAATTTTTAACAAATTTCTCATTTTTTTCATTTTTTATTTTTTTTTGTTTTTTTTTTTAAATTTTTTGTTTCTTGTTGTTTTATTTTTTTATTTATTTCATTTTTTTTGTTTTGTTTTGTTCCTTTTTTTCTTTATTGTTTTATTCCTTTTTTTTCTTTTAATAAAAGCTCTTAATAAAACTTATATATTTCAACACATTTTGTAATTTTTAACAAATTTATTATTTTGTATTTTTATTTATTTTATTTCTCTTTTTCTTTAGCTTTTTTATTTCATTCATTTTTTTTCCTTTTTTTTCTTTTAGTAAAAGTTTTTAATAACACTTATATGATTTTTAAGAAGTTTTTTTTTATTATTATTTATTATTTTTATTTTTTATTTATTTTATTTCTTTTTATCTTTTGCTTGTTTATTTCATTCATTTTTTTACTTTTATTAAAATGATATGATGAATTATATGATTTTTAAGAATTTTTTTTATTACTATTTTTTTATTTTTGTTATTTTTTTTTTTTTTTACTTTTTTATTTCCTTTTTTAAATTTTTTTTCTTTATCTTTTTCCTTTTTTTCTTTTAATAAAACATATATTTTTTTTAAAACATTTTGTAACTTTTTACAAATTAGTTTGTTTTTAATTTTTATTTTTATTTATTTTTGTTTTTTCTTGTTTTATTTTTTTATTTCTTTTTTTTTCTTTTTTCGTTTTTTCCCTTACTTTTCTTTGAGCAAAACTTATATATTTTGAAACATTTTGTAATTTTTAATGTCTTTTTTTTTTTTTTTTTTTTTATATATTTTTTTTCTTTTATTAAAAGCTCTTAATAAAACTTACACATTTTAAAATATTTTGTATTTTTTTCTTTAATTTTTCTTTATTTCCTCTTTTCCTTTTTTTATTTCTTTCGTTTTGTTTTTTTCCTTTTTTTCTTTTAATAAAACTTATATATTTTAAAACTTTTTGTAATTTTTAACAAATTTGTCTTCGTTTTGTTTTTTTTTATTTATATATATTTTTCTTTTTCATTTTTTTAATTTTTTTTATTTATATATATATATATACATATACATATATATATATATATATATATATATATATATATCATTTTTTTATTTTATACTTTATTTTTTTTGTTTTTTTATTTTTTTGTTTCTTTTATTTTTTTTATATTCTTGTTTTTTATTTTTTTTCCTTTTTGGTTTTTTTCCTTTTATTTTTTTTTCTATTTATTTTTCTTATTTTTTTTTTAATTTTTTAATTCTTATTATTTTTTCCCTTTTTTATATTTTTTATTTTTTTTCAAATTTTATTTTTGTTTTTTGTTTTTTTTTTTAAGTTTTTCCTTTTTATATTTCTTTTATTTTATTTCATTTTTTATTTTTTTAATTTTTTTCTTTTTTCGCTTTTTTTGTTTTTTTATTTTTTTTTTCCTTTTTTGTTTTTTCCCATTTTTTTCTTTCCTTTTTTTATATTTCTCCTTTTATTTTCCTTCTTATTTTTTAAAAAAAAAATTCTTTTTTTTGTTTGTCAAATATTTGTTTTATGGAATTCGTGTCGTCGACAAAAAAATTATAAGAGAAGCATTTTGAAAGTTTCTAAATGAATAATTTGTACTAAGAACATTCTTATAATTAACATAAAATATTTTACTAATAAATTATTTACTAATAAAAAAAATAGTACTTAAGTTTTAAGTTTGTATTAATATTTCAGGATCATCCGAGAATGGATTATGACGATTCAAAAATTGACGCAGATTTAGATAAATTATTACAACATATCAAAGAAGACCAATCGATGGACGTTGCCGATAGTCCGAAAGATACAGATCATAATAACAGGTAATAATAATAATTATATATATATATATATATATATATATATATATACTAGCAAACCCGGCGAACTCCGTTTCGCCACAAGATTGTTTCGTAAGAAAGATGAAGAAATTTTTGTATGTTTTATATTTGAAAAGGAAAAATTTGATTTTATTACACAACGGTAATGAATTTATTTCGATTACAAAAATGAAGTGTTTTTAAGTTGAACTTCTCTAAGTAAATGAAAGTGAATCCGCAAATTATCCGTTTCATTGAAGTGCTCTTTGGTAAACCACATTTTTTGTTTTTTGGTCTGACGTTAACACAAACAAAGCGGATGGTTTTCCAACTCGTGAATAGGCAACGTATAACTGCCCTTGTAAAGAACAATGATTTTCTAAATAATCTATTTGAAATTTATCCCGCAAACACTAAGCGATTGGCCTTGCGACTTGTTATTGCGAACGCAAGGCGAACTGGAAATTGCAATCGTTTGAAGACAAACGAAAGACCAGTCGGAATCGTTGGTATGTCACCAAATCGCCAGCAATTTTTGATTGAATGATGGAATTCAGTGCGTGTACATCATTATTCTTTGCGGCAAGAATTGTTCGTTGACTTAACCAAGCATAATTCTGATAACTCTCACTAATGTCATTACTCGAATTTTTATTTACGGTGCGTGAAGTTCCAGCAATTTGCATTAAGGTACGATGCCATGCACTACTAATTATTATGCACCTTCTATTTATTATTTTCTAGTTACCCTCATATAACTTCCATGGATTCCGAAGGTTGTCCATCGAGACACCTTTTATACACAACACATTTTCCGCTAATTCAAGACGATTCTGGTTCCCAACACGATTGTAATCAGAGGCATATTTTATTATATGGTGTCGGAAAAATTAGAGACGAGGCCAGGCATACTGTTAAGAAAATGGCTAAAGGTAAGAATTTATTTTACTCACATAGGATAAGTTTTAGTAATCGTCCAAAAATCGTCATTGAAAATATTTGCATATCTTCACGTTTCAGAGGTTTCTGAACGTTTTGGTATGCCTCAGAAAAAACGGATGTGTGTGTGTGTGCGGATACAATTTTTGGTCCACGTCTTCGGGCGCACGGTTCAACCGATTTCAATGATTCGAAAAACATTCGATTCCTATTGATAAGGAGACGTGCTGATAGATTTTTTTTTCCTTTAATAAGATTCAAATTCATGTTCTATATTATCTCGTTTGCTCGTTAGTAGAATCCTTTCGTATTTCATATGATTTTTTTGAGTTTGCTCATCAGTAGAGTTCCTTTTACATTCTAGATTTTTTTTTTTAAATTGCTAGCAAGTAAAGTATTTCTTTTTCTTCAATAGAGTTTGAGTTTATATTCTAGATTATTTCGTTTGCTCTTTAGTAGAGTCCTCTTTATATTTTCAGATGATACATAGTTTTTTTTTATTGAATCTCATATTTATATACTAGATTATTTTGTTTGCTCGATGGTAGAGTCCTATCCTTGTAATCAAAAATTTAATAGAAGTCTCTTTTCAAATTTTTGTCAACTTTCTGTTTGCTCGTCAGTAGAGTCCCTTTTTGCTTCCTAATATAAATTTCTTCTACACCAATAGAATTCAATTGTATCTTCTAGTTTCTTTCTCTTTTTTGTTAGTAAAGTTCTATTTTTTATTTTTTGTTGAATTTCAGTTTGCTTGTTAGTACAGTCCTTTTTATAATTCATATCTAGTATCAGTTTGTTCGTCAGTAGTGTCCGTTTTAATCTTTTAAGATGCTATTTAATTTAGATTGATATTTTTTGTCTAAAGATCCCAGCTGTATATTGTAGGTATATATTTATATTGCTCGTTAGTAGAGTTCTTTTTTACAAACTAGTGGTTCATGGCATCGTGCCTTAATTCAAATAGAACTTTTCGTACCAAAAAGTGTTTTTTAAAAAACTTTAAAATTTCTTTAAAATAGTGAAATTATTAGTTTTTTTAGAATTTTGGAACTTTTGAAAAAATTTAATTTTTTTGCAAAATTTCATTTTTTTATATTTTGGTATTTTCTGAAAAGTCAGTCAGATTTTCTGATAAGCACAGTCTAAGTGACAACTTGGTACAAATGTTTTTGGAAGTGCGTTTAGACTGTGACTATACTGGATCGTTTTTTAGATTTTGTAAAATCGAAACTATTGAAAAATGTAAAAATGCCGCCGAGCAAAGCACAGTCTAAGCGAAAATTTCACACAAAATTATTTGTTAATGCGTTTAGACTGTGACTATACGGGAGCACTTTTTCAATTTTGTGTAAATTAGGCAACTATTTTTTTTTTTTAAATTGAATTCGAAATGAAATGACGATTGTTAATGTTCTGAAGATAAATTGATTTATGATTTATGATTTACATTTGATATGCTTAGATAGAACAAGATAGCAAAAATAATGAAAGTTACAGTATTTGTAATAATATATTTGAAAACATTTGATATTCCTTGAATATTTTATGAAGGTACGGGAAGTTCCAGCAATTTTTCTTAAGGCACGATGCCATACATTATTAGTTAAATTAGTTAGTTGAATTTCCGTATTGCAATATTATTACATCTATCTTTTATCCTTTTTAGAAATTTGCAAACTATTCTCGAAGAAATTCTCAATCGACGTGGCTGAAGGCGGTAAAGTGAAAAAACATTCCAGAAATGAATTCAACTTTGAAGCTACCACACAAAAGTGCCAAAATTTATCATTTTTTGATCAACATGTCGTCACTTGGCAATGTTCGCAGACTGTTATGGAAATGCTGAACAGTTTCGCTCAGGGAAATTCAAATTATTTACCTGTGCAGGAACATGTTGCATTTTTGTTTGACTTGATGGAAATGGCTTTGAATATTTATGGACTTATCGATGTCTGCATACAGGTCAGGAAATATATATATATATATATATATATATATATATATATTTTGTATGATTCTGAATTTGATGTTGACATATGTATTAACAAAGTCTAATAATCGTATGGAAACGTATGGATTTAAAATAAATTTTTGAAAGAAATTCATGTTTTTTATTGATGTTATGCCCGATTATTAGACTTTGTTATATATATATATATATATATATATATATATATATATATAAATCTATCAAACTGAATTATATAATTTCATCTGCCAAAGATATAGTGTATCTTATATTATTTTAATTTCTGGCACATCTCAGTTGCTTTTCGGCAATAATAATGTAGACATTACATTTTTCTTATTCATAATCATGAATTTATTATACATATTCTAATATTGTCTGGGCTCATAAGTGAATTGAAATATCTGGCAGATGATAGTTCTCATTTGTCAAAATATTTTCAATGTCAAACAATGATATGTTGTTTTTTGTAATTTTGTCCATTTATTTCTACAATATTACTACTTTTTTATAATCACATACATCCTAAAGAATTTCCTTAACAAACTTCAAAAAGATTGATCAAAATCCGAATCGTTTAGGAGATTTCAGAATACTTTGAAATTTTCAAAATATCAAAATTTTCAATAAAATCGAATATTCTCAAAATATCCAAGTTTTCAAAAAATTAAAAAAAACAATTTTTTTTGCAAAATCTCTAAACATTTTTGAACATTTAAAAAATTTACGAAATTTTCAAACAATTTCAAAATTTTCAATAAAAAATTTAAGATTTCAGAAAATTTAAATTTTTAAAATGTTTTATAATTTAAAAAAAAAAACAAATTTTTGAATTTTTTTCAAAATATCAAAATTTTTTTAAACAAATATTTTACAAAAATTTCAGAACGTTTTGAAATTTTCAAATATATCAAAATTTACCAATAAAATCGATTTTTTTCAAAAATTTAAAAAATAAAGAAAAACTATTTTTTTTCAAAAGCTCCAAAGTATTATGATATATGATTTATTATATAAAGTATTAAAACAATTTCAAAATTTTCAATAAAAAAATCAAGATTTCAGAAAATTCTAATTTTTAAAATGTTTCATAATTTTCAAAAAAAATCTTTTTTTTAAAATTAAAAAACATCAAACTTTTTTGAAAAATCCATTTTTTACAAGAATTTTAGGACATTTTGAAATTTTCAATAAAATTGAACATTTTCAAAAATAATGCAAATTCTTAAAAATGAAAGAAAAACTTTTTTTTTCAAAACATCAAAATATTTGAACATTTTAAAAAATTACAAAATTTTGAAAAAAAAATGATAAAAAACATAATTTTCAATAAAAAATTCAAGATTTCAGAAAATGTTTCATAATTTTCAAAAAAAAAATAGTATTCTTGAAAAAATATTAAAAATACCGGATTTTTTTTGAGAATCCATTTTTTACAAAAAATTCAGAATATTTTGAAATTTTCAATATTAATTCAATTACCAAAAAATTTCATTTTTTTAAATTTTCATTTAAATTGTTTAATAAGAATTTTTTTGAGAATCCATTTTTTACAAAAAATTCAGAATATTTTGAAATTTTCAATATTAATTCAATTACCAAAAAATTTCATTTTTTTAAATTTTCATTTAAATTGTTTCATAATTTTCAAAAATCTAATTTTTGACAAAAGTTAAAAAACATCAAATTTTCTTTAGAAATACATTTTTTTACAAAAATTTTAGAATATTTTGAAATTTTCAAAAATATCAAAATTTTCATTACAATCAAACATCTTCAAAAATATCCAGATTCTCAAAAAATTAAGAAAAAAAACTATTTTTTTTCAAAAACTTTGAACATTTACAAATTTTACAAACTTTTGACTAACAATTTAAAAATTACCAAACAATTTCAAAATTAACAAAAAAATCAAATTTTTTAAATATTTCAGAATTTAAAAAAAAAATCTAATTTTTTGAAACATCAATTTTTTATAAAAATCTTAGAATATATTGAATTTTTCCAAAAATTTTAAATTTATCAATAAAATCGAATATTTTCAAAAGTTTTCGAATTTGCAATAAAATTAAAAATTCAAAAGTTTACAAGATATTGAAAAAATTTCAAAATTACCAAAAAATCAAATTTTTTAAACTATTCAGAAAATCTAAATTTTCAAAAAAAAAAAAACAAATTTCTTATAAACGTCGTTGCGCATTTTAATAAGCACTTATAAGTTCTTATGTATATATAATATAATTCTATATGAAATTATTTAAAACATTTATTGATTATCTTCATTTCGCGTATGTTTAATTACGGTACGAGAAGTTCCAGCAATCTGCCTTAAGGCACGATGCACTACGCCACTAGTTTAATAATTAATAAAAATATATTTTGTATAATAATAATTACACAAAATATCTTTTACAGATATTAAAAGAATTACCGGAGGTAGAATCTCAACTCCAAAGCAAAAACTCAGGCCTCGTCCGACAGTACACCACTTCCCTAAGTCTGTACGTCGTCGGCGTTTTGAGAAGATACCAATGCTGCTTACTTTGTAAGTAATAAAAAAAACAATATGTACATACATTTAACTATTCATATTTTAATTTTATTATCAGTGTCTACCGAGCAGACATCGGCAGTTTTCGAAGGCCTATACAGAGTCGTCAAGCCGGTGACGAACTTTTCATTTTTACCGAACGACTGCAGTTCGGCGGAAAGATGCGTCCTGGCACATTTGTACGATTTGTACTCTTCGTGTTCGTTTTTGAAGTCGAAAGTGCATTCCATAGAACCTTTTGCAAATGCTTACCCGAAAATTCGACAAGCTTTGTATGCATCTTTGCAGCCGATGCCTTCGAGCTATGACCTAAATCCGCAGTTTATGATGGACGTATTGACGAATCCTAGGAGAGGAGGTAAGGGATAAGGGATAAAGGCTATATATGTGTATATATATACGAGGTCTGTTCAAAAAGTACCCGGAATTTTCGTTTTTTCAAAAAAATATTTATTTATTCGACTACATTAATGTGGTCCCCTTCAAAGTAGTCCCCCCCAGATATAATACACTTATGCCAGCGTTTTTTCCAATTTTCGAAGCACCCTTGATATTCACTTTTTGATATGTCCTTGAGCACTCTCGGCGATTCGGCCTTTATTTCTTCAATCGAGGAAAACCGCCGTCCTTTCATGGGTCTCTTCAACTTTGGGAATGGGAAAAAGTCACACGGAGCCATATCTGGTGAATTTTTGCACTTTGCAACACTTTATTTCATTTTTTACGCAAAATTTAATACAAATTCTTTGACTTTTTCAATTCTTCCATTGTAAAAATCGCCGAGCTCAGAAAAACACGTCGAACCTTAGCGACCACCACAGACAAAGTAAACAGTGAATATAGCTGAAAATTTCATCATACTTTAGGGGCATGTATACCAACACAATAAAAAAAAAATTTGACAATCAGACACTCCAGACCCGCGAAATTTAATTATTAGTAATTCCGGGTACTTTTTGAACACACCTCGTATGTATATATATATATATATATATATATATATATATATATATTCTTTGTTTGATGTATCGCCCTCAAGAACTCACTCATATATATATATATATATATATATATATATATATATATATATATATATATATATATTATAATATTGTATGTCTGTCATTTGAATATAACGGCCAAGAGTGTCTATCCTGACGTGTATGTGCTCTATGGTGTGTCATATGTAGAGTGTCTGATCCCTTACGGAACAGAAGTATGTATCTGTGTGCGAGTCGGTGTCTGGCGGTAACTTGAGTGTGGAACAGTTCGGCGTTGTGTTAATTTGGTGAATTATTAAATGTGTTGTATGAAGTAAAAGGTGTTTTATTAATTAATTAATGCTAGAATAAAGCTAGCTTAAAATATATATACTAGCTGATCCGGCAAACCTTGTTTCGCCATAAAAAATATTTCTAGTATAAGATGTTTAGTACGAAAATAACTAACTGATTGCAAATGCGGTGCACGAGTGAAAGGAGCGGCTAACAAAAAATATATGAATAGTTCACCCACTGCAAAGCACGCCACATATAAATGTCTCGTTAATAGTCTTTGCAAGAGCCAATCTAATCCGAAACTGATTTTATTTAAATTGAATTGGCATTTTTAAAGTTTCAAGATTTCGATATATTATTACCGCGCTTTTGCATTTGTTCAGTAATTTTTGAATTACGAATCTAAATCTGATAAGTCATTTTTAATTATATTGTTATGTGGCATGTCCAGCAATTTGAATGGGATTGAAAAAAATGAGATAGTGGAAAATTTTACAGCTTTGCCATAGATTTGTGTGGTACTTATAGTTTTCTATCAAAAACTGTTGTATTGTATCTTAAGATTTTTATATGCAATCTTTTTATTTATTTGCAAAAATAACTCTTTATGCAAACTATTTATTAACTTTGTACTGTTTGTGCGCATCGGAAAATATTTATACAAAGAGATAGACAACTGATGATAAAAATATTTTTTTTTATTTTAAGTAAAATTCATGCTTTATCATAAGGTCAGAAAAATATGAATTAAAAATCAGTAAACAAAACACTCACTGACTGAAAGAGTGGTGGAAACTTATTCTATTATTAAAATGGCTATTATGAAATAGAGATTTGTGTAAGGAGGGTAAAAATTTAGTATTATGCATTTTTTTAATTCCACATTAAAAAAATTAAAATTAAATGATTCCAACATTTAAAAAAAAAGTTAGGCGTGGATAACCCTTGATAAAAATAAATAGTTTTTTGAAGTAAAAAGAGATCCATATATTTTTCAATTTCGAATTATAGAAAATTAAAATGAAGAAAATAGGTCATAAAATATAAAAAAAGAAAATTGGTTTCAAAATTAAAAAAAAAATAAGAGTATGAAAAGCTCCCGATAAAAATAAATAATAATTCGAAGTAAAAAGAATTGAATGTATTTTTCAATTCTGCATTAAAAAATAAACCTCATAATTGAAAAAATGTGTTAGGGTTGGACAACCCTTAATAAAAATTATTTGTTTTTTTAAAGTAACATTTAACTATTTTCATATACTCAAAAAATTTTAACTGAAATTATGTCAAAAAATGAAGGTCAAATTAAATTTAAAAGAAAATTGATTCTAAAATTTAAAAAAATAGGGGTGGACAACACTTGGTAAATTAAATAGTTTTTGAAGTAAAGAGATTTCTATATATTTTTCAATTTCCATTCATAGAAAATTAAAATGAAGAAAATAGGTCATAAAATATGAAAAAATGTTAAACGTGGCCAACACTTGATAAAAATAAATAGCAATTTGAAGTAAAAAGAGTTGTATGTATTTTGTCAATTCGGTATCAAAAAAATTAAAATAAAAAAAATGGACCCCAGAATTAAAAAATGGAAAAATATAGATGTTTTAAAAATCTTCACTTTATTTATTTTTTACTTGATGTTACGCCCTCCAAGAAATTAATCATATATATATATATATATCTCTTTTATATAAAATTTTTCTGTACGGGTGTATCGTTTGATACTTCTTCTAAACGATTTTTCGGATTTTGATAAATCTTTTTAGAGTTTGTCGAAGGAAAATTTTAAGATTTAATGAACTTTAAAACTATGTTAATACTGTTGAAATAAATGGCGGAAATTACAAAAAACACTTATCTATCTTATTGTTTGACATTGAAAACGTTAGAACTGTCATCTGCTAGATAATATTAGAATGTAATATACAAGAAAAATGTAATGTCTACATTATTATTGGCAAAAAGCAGCTGAGATGTGCCAGAAATCGAAATAATTGGCAGATGAAATTATATAATTCAGTTTAATATATAACGCAACAATTCCAAAATTGCATATACATTATTTGTTTAAACTTGTGTATGTCGCATTTTGGTTTACTTTACTAAATTATTTTAGCAATACAAAAAATATTTCTACTTATTAAAAAAATGATTTAGAATTCTGTTTCATGTGTCAAAAATTCATTTGTTTGGCATCGGATATGGAATATTTAGTTAGTTAATCGCAGATTGAATAGTGCACATATGAACTAGATTTTACACATTAATTCACCTAAGATTTGAATATAGACAATAGTGTTATTAAATTATTAGTAAGAAAAATGTACTTTAGAAAATATAATTGCCAAAAAGCAACTAAGACTAAATTATTGAAGCAATTATGTTGTGTGGTAAAATCAAGTGTGATATTGTTCTTGTACCGCGGATACTGTATTATTTTTTTTGAATTTCTGATACTGCTTTTGCTTAGACCATAAGTGAGAATCACAAAGGCAGGACATCAAATAGGATATTAAAAAGTATAGGATAGGATAATAGAACATTTGGAACTTTTGAATTGTAGACATGGGTACAGGACATCGTCTGTCGGGTTTTCTACTATATATATATATATATATATATATATATATATATATAATATTTTTTTAGGTAAAATCGAGCAATCCTGGGCCCGACAACTATCAGAGTCCGCCAGCAATCGTTACTCCTTCGTGTGTAATGCAATTTTATGTGTCTGCCGAGAAACCGACAACGACAGGCTAAATGACATAGCCATCACCTGCGCCGAATTGACTGCCTGCTGCAACACACTCGCAGCAGAATGGTTGGCCGTGTTAATGGCCTTGTGCTGCTCCGGAACTCATAGCCAGAGCTTTTATATGGACGTCTTGGATCAGGTCGATGTACACGATTTGGGAATACATAATTCGTTGGCTGTTTTCACATGCATTTTAATAGGTAATAATTGTAGAATTTATGTTGAAAGTTTATGTGAATAATAATACAACCGTTTATGCAGAAGGATAAACACAGACTGACTGATTATATATTCTTTAACTAATCACATTCATTACAAAATATTATAACAATCACTTGTTTTACATAAAACAAAAGACAAACATATATACATAAACATAGTAGACACAGAGCGTTTAGTATCAAACTTCAACAATAATTAGATTTATAACTAGTGGTGTATGGCATCGTGCCTTAAGGTAAATTGCTGGAACTTCCCGTACCGTAATGAAATCTTCGAGAAGTTTTAAACGTTTTCAAATATATTATTACAAATACTGTAACTTTCATTATTTTTACATTGCTATCTTGTTATGTCTGAACAAATCAAATGTAAATCATAAATCAATTATTACATTAACAATCGTCATTCCATTTCGAATCAAATTTCAAAAAAAAAAAATAGTTGCCTAATTTGCACAAAATTGAAAAAGTTTATTTTGTTGAAACAAGCAGAAAGTTCTTTAAGTCATTCAAATCGGACACTTAGTTCTCTCAAAAACTGCCATTTTTTTAACATTTAGCTCTGTATCTCCAAAACCGCTGGGCCTACCTTTTCCAAAAACTAATCAGCACATCTCCCTATCAATAGGAATCGAATGTTTTTTAAACCATTCAAATCGGTTGATCCGTTCCCTCAAAAACTCGCTTTCTATTTTCTGCACTCTTTGCTCCATATCTCCGTAACGGCTGGACCTGCCTTTGCCAAAAACTAATCAGCACGTCTCCCTATCAATAGGAATCGAATGTTTTTTAAACCATTCAAATCGGTTGATCCGTGCGCCCGAAAATGTGGACGATAAAACGCGGACATACAAAACACACACACACACACACACATCCATTTTTTCTGAAGTATGCCAAAATGTTCAGAAACCTTCAAAACGTCGAAAAATGTAAAAATTTTTGATTTCGATTTTTGGACGATTACTATAACTTACCCTACGGGAAGTTAATAATATTATTTATAACTAGTGGTGTATGGCATCGTGCCTTAAGGCAAATTGCTGGAACTTTCCGTGCCGTAATGAAATATTCGAGAAATTTTAAACGTTTTCAAATATATGATACAAATATATCATACAAATACTGTAACTTTCATTATTTTTCCTATCTTATTGTTATATCTGAATTAACTCTGTGTTAATTTATCTTGAAGTTACAGGAAAATTAATATTTGTCATTTCATTTTTAATCAAATTTCAAAAAAAAATTAAAACAAAGCTCAGATCTGCAAACAAATATCCAATCCTCACCAAATTTTCTTCAGCAATAAAAAATCAAACACCCTAACTTAGTATGTTCATTAAGACCATGTACTCTATAGCCAAAATAATCAAGAAAACATATAATGAGCAAATTGGATTTTCTGGCAAAAACATAAACTTCTTATTCAAGAAATCTCACATTTTTATTTAATATTTACACACAATTGAAAAAGGCTCCCGTATAGTCACAGTCTAAACACACTTGCAAATAATTTTGTGCGTCACTTTAACTTAGATTGTTGGCGGCATTTTTACATTTTTCAATAGTTTCATAAACAGTCTAAACGCACTTGGGTAAACATTTGTACCAGGTTGTCCCTTAGACTGTGCTTAGCCTGGGTAATTTTTTTGATTTTTGACCCAAAATTACATTTCCATAATTTATCTAGAATTAAAATTCTCATCGTAATCATTTTCGATATTCAAAAATATATTATTACAAATACTGTAACTTTCATTATTTTTGCTATCTTAAATGTAAATCATAAATCAATTTATCTTCTATCATCTATCGACAATCGTCATTTCATTTCGAATTCAATTTCAAAATTCAAAAATAGTTGCCTAATTTACATAAAATTGAAAAAGTGCTTCCGCATAATCACAATCTAAACGCATTTACAAATAATTCCGTACGACATTTTTGCTTATACTGTGCTCAGCTTGGCGGCATTTTCACATTTTTCAATAGTAGTTTTTTTCACAAAATTGGAAAAGTGCTCCTTTACATAAACAGTCTAAAACGCACTTGGGTAAACATTTGTACCAGAGTGGCGCTTAGACTGTGCTTAGCCTGGGTAATTTTTTGAATTTTGAATCCATTACAAGTCAATAATACATATTTAATATTTTGTTTTTTTTTTGTAATTTTAATGAATTGTACTTTTTTTAGCGCGCCATTGCTTCTCTCTGGAGGATCTTGTTCGACACGTTGCTTTACCTTCGTTTGTTAAGGTAATTTATTAATTTATTTATATACAATATATATATATATATATATATATATATATATATATATATATACTAGCTGACCCAGCGAACGTTGCTTTGCTAAGTAAGGTATACTCAAAACAATTTCTAGAGAAGCAAAAATATTAATACTTGTATATAAGTGTATAAGGATGTGTTGTTTGAATGCTATATAAAATGAGGTATTATCAAAACAATAAACCCCATTAGTTTGTCTATATTTTGTCTGGAAGTTTTATACACTTTCTATAGAAAACATGGTACAATCCAATCCAAGTCTTTTTTGGTCTTTCGACTTATTGATTACGTTTTAAGCTTTTCAGATTTTTTTTGGATTCTGGATTTTGTGTATAATTGTAAATAATACTACTGAGCTTATAAAAAAATTTCAAATTTCTGCGAGGAGAAATAGAAAATGAATTCTGAATTGGAATAACATAAATAAAAAATAATATAACCTAGAAAATGTTTTATAAATACCAATGAGTATATAATTATACAAATGAGATCTTTCAGAGCACCGTGTTTGAGAAAAATATGCCAAAAAGTGCATTTTCATATTAACAATTAAAAAAAGTTGATATTGTTGAGTTTCTAGTAACACTTGCAGCCCTATTACATGATTTTAGAGAATTGCAAATTTATAGCTGTTTTTGTAAGAAACATGTGTGATTTTATATTTTTATAATTTAATACACATATTGAGAAATAACATACTAAAATTTTGTAACTCCAGTATACCGTTTTATATTTTTAAATATTTTTCAAAATACTCATCAAACCGTGGACTTGCAACTATTGCAAGAGTGCATTTGTATACAAAATTGTACATTTATAGCTTTTTTTGTTAGAAACATATGTGATTTTATATTTTTATAATTGAGTACATGTATTAGGTAATAACTTACTAAAATTTCATAGCTCTAGTATAATATTGTATATTTTTAAAATATTTTACAAAGGTACTTGTCATATCATATCCAACCGTCGATTCGCAACTAATAAAAATAGAGTATGCAAGTGTGCATTGCAATTTTTTAGTTTCTTCTGTCAGAAACGTATTTGATTTGATATTTTTATAATTCAGTATACGCATTAAGAAATAACATACTATAATTTCATAACTGTATTACAACGCTTTATATTTTTAAAATATATTTTAAGCCGTCAATTTGTTTACGTCAAAGTGTTTACTAACGTTTTTGTATATAAATAAAACTACGAACAAAACTACTTACTACAATTTAAATATAATTAAATATTCACGTATAACATCCTATTAAACGTAATTGAACAACAACCGTCAAAAACATTTGACATTTGACGTATTAGCCACCGTCCATTGTTTCATTTAAATTACGCTTCTACAAAAAATTTTAAATTAAAAATGTAAAATTTCTACGCGATTTTGAAATGATATCTCACCTTTCCGACAATCTACTGATTAGCACGAATTTTTCAAGACTAAGACTGGCCAAATCGGTTTAGCCGTTTTCGAGTTTTAGCGAATATATATATATATATATATATATGTATATATATATATATATATATATATATATATATATATATAATGTAATATTTTTTAATATTGTTTCAGGTATGCCGTGGCGATATACCTCTCGATGCTGAAGCTGGAGCAAGACTGACTTGTCATTTACTGTTAAGGCTATTTAAGACTGTAGAGTGCCCTCAACCAGGTAATTTTAGATAGAATATAATATATATATATATATATATATATATATATATATATATATAATATAAATAATCATAGAATACAGAATAATAAAATTTAGTTAGAAATGTACTATTTGCGGGACATAATTAGAAATATAACTATCTGTAACCGATCGCGCGTTGAAGCATCATCAAGTAAAATAACTCAATCAGCATCGTTTTTTAAAAGATTTCTAACAGGTATCACAAAATGTAACACACACACACGGCCATTGACTGTATCTGATTTCAAAAATTATTGAAATTTAAAAAAAAATCTATTTCTTAGAAAAATTTGAAAATGTTTCGAAATTTAAAAAAAAATCTAATGGTTTCAAAAAATTCAAAATTCTCCAAAAATGTAAAAAAATCGTATTTTCCAAAAATTTCGAACTTTTAAAAAATTTGCAAAAAAAAAATTACTAATTTATCAAAAACATCAAATTTAAAAACAAATTGAACAAATTTCTTGTAAACATACACATATGTTGTTTGTAGAATACGCTCGTCGCCCAATTCAATAAGCACATATAAATTTACAGTAATTATTTATAATAAATAATCTAATTGAAATTATTTAAAACAATTATCGATTATTTTTATTCTTTTAATGTTTAATTACTGTACGGGAAATTTCAGCAATTTGCCTCAAGACACGATGCCATACACCACTAGTTAATATATTTATTTTATTTTCTCAGGAATGTACTCAGTGAGCACATCGCCTCACCCAATTCCTACCCAGGGCCCTCAATATTCCATAAAACTCAGCTGTGATAGACATTTGTTGGCTGCCGCTCACAAAAACATTAGCGTGGAGCCAATATTGGCGGTACTGAAAACCATATTGGGTAAGTGACTTAATTTTTATATTAAGGGACCGATTCTGCTGTACAACTGAAAAATGTTATGGCAAGGCCATGTTACGCTCCAACTTCCATACATTACGCTTATAATCATACTGAATACTTTCAAAATGTCGTGTATTTGCTGTGCATTCAGGCAGTTTTACACATAAACTGCAACGTCACTCGTATGTTATGAACCCGAGTCAGAAAGACCCTGTTATCAAACATCTTTTGTTTGACATTAGTGCGGTTCCTAGGTTAGATTTTCTATCTGACGGCTTGAGAAAAACGCCTGACTCCATAGCAACCACATGGCTTCTGTCAATATTTAGTATGTAAAGTTCTTCATAGCATAGCCTTGCCATAACATTTTTCTCTTATGCAGCAGAATCTGGGAAAAATCTTGATTTTTAACTTCCCGAAGGAGAAGTTTGTTTTCATCAAAAAATCCGATTCGCTAATTTTATTTTTTCTCGACGTTTCAAGCCATTCTGAATCCAATGAGACCAAATTTGGAAAAAGTATGTGTGTGTGTGTGTGTGTATGTTTATGTGTATGTGAACAGATTTTTTGCCGTAAATCGACGTTTTCTCGAAAACGGCTGGACCGATTTCAAAAATTTAAAAGCCATTTGATGTATCTCGATGAGGACTATCGTCTCTGAGTTTTGTGCGGTGATCGGCCGGGCCGTTTCTTTGTAAATTGCAGAAAAGTGAAACAATTTTCGTCCACGTTTTAGCCCGCAATTCTGAATCGATTTTGAAAATTCAAAAACCGTTTGCTAGATATTGGTTGGGAATCGTGCTGATTAGTTTTTAGTAGAGATCGGCCGGGCCGTTTTCTTGTAATAAAGTTTTTAAAAAAAAAAATTCGACGATTTTTATGATTGTTTTTTTGACGGTAGATACCATAGTCTTCTATATCATACTAAAATATTACGGCCCTACGACAACAGGTTCAGCTTTAAAAATTCGTCAAAGTTTGCAAAAATTGGTATCGTATTTTTGGCATTTGTCAAAATTAGACTTTTGATCGACGTTTTCTCAGAAACGCCTGAACCGATTTTAGAAATTTAAAAGCCATTTGATGTATTTCGGTGAGGACTATCGTTTGTCAGTTTTGTGCGACGATCTGCCAAGCCGTTTCTTTGCAATTTGAAAAAAAGTGTTAAACTTTTCGTCCACATTTAAGCTCATCCTACCGAACCGATTTTAAAAAATCAAAAACTGTTCGAAAGATATTAGTTGGGAATGGTACTGATTAGTTTTAGATGAAAATCTACCGAGCCGTTTACTTGTAATGAACTGTTGAAAAAAAAATTTAAGCCGATTTTCATGGAACTTTTTTTGGCAATATACATCATGGTCTTATAGAACTTACTGTCATATTACGGCCTTACGACAAGTAGTTTAATTTCAAAAATTCGTCAAACTTTGCTAAAATTATTATCGTTTTTTTTAAAGTAGGATTGATGAAGTATATTATTAATACATTTTTTTGATTAAGTCGATTATTTACACATATCGGGAAGTTCATGTAACTTGCCTCAAGGCTAAATACCAAACCAACTAGTTTCTTATATTGTTTGTGTCTAATCTTACAGTTGTCGGTGATACTACAGCACGTGACGGTGGCAATTCCAAAAATAACGGAAAACGAAGCGGACTGTCGACACCCGTACACCCAGGTAGCACCCCGAAAGGACAACTTGGGGCGAGTGAATTATCACACATTTTGGGAACTAGTGATATGAGTCTTATAGGAGCTGCTGATGACCCTATGTTGGACTTGACGTATGTACTATTATTATAATAATAAATTTAGAGTAATGGACTGATTCTGCCGAAAAACAGACCGATGTTATGGCAAGGCTATGTTATGAAGAACTTTTTATACTAAATTGGATAAAAGCTATGTGGTTGCTGTGCAGTCGGGCGTATTTCTCATAGAATACCTAGCCTAGAAACCGCACAAAAAGTCAAAAAAACGATGTTAGATAACAGGGTCTTTCTGACTCGGCTTCATAACATACGCGTAACGTTGCAGTTTATGTGTGAAAAACGTCTGAATGCACAGCAAATACATGACATTTTGACAGTATTCAGTATGATTCAGTAGCATAACATGGCCTTGCCATAACATTGCTCCGTGATTTTACAATATTGACCGATTCTACCGGATAACAGACTGATGTTATGGCAAGGCTATGATATAAAAAAACTTTCCATACTAAATCGGACAAAAGCTATGTGGTTGCTGTGCAGTCAGGCGTATTTCTCAGGTTGTCTGATAGAAAATCTAACCTAAAAACCGCACAAATGTCAAAAAAACGATGTTAGATAACAGGGTGTTTCTGACTCAGCTTCATAACATACGAGTGAGTTTAAAAAATTAAATTGTGTCATTTGGCATGTTGGGTATCGTTTGAAAGGTCTTTTTGAATACAATCCGGATATTGCAATTAACTATGTGATTTGTCCACAAAATTTACACATGTAACAGAGCAGTCTAAAGAAGTTTTATTTCAAAATTTTAGATTGTTACTTTTATGACGTTTTATGACGTTGCAGTTTACGTCCAAACGGCCTGAATGCACAGCAAATACATGACATTTCGACAGTATGATTCAGTAGCATAATGTATGCGATTTAGAGCCTTGCCATAACATTGGTATTATTTTTAAAATATCCTTTACCTATTTGGATTCTTTATTACAATTTCATCTGATTTTTTTCTTGGACAGGATGGTAGATTTGGAAGCAGGAAATCGTCATGCTCAAAGGTCAATTTTTTTAATAGAATTTTATGAATGTCCGCTTTTTGTTTGTCTGTGTCGTTGTCGTTTTTGTAAATAATTATTACATCTTGCTTTTTGCATTCATGCATATAATTTTTGTTGTGTTGCGTTTAATAATACTTTTTTTTCATTCATTGCTTTGAACTCACCTAATTATATACACGTAAAAATATTTTTAATTTAATTTATTCAAATTTAAATATAACTAGGGGTGTATGGCATCGTGCCTTAAGGCAAATTGCTGGAACTTTCCGTACCGTAATGAAATATTCGAGAAATTTTAAACGTTTTCGAATATACTATTACAAATACTGTAACTTTCATTATTTATGCTATCTTATTGTATAGCTGAGCAATTCAAATGTAAATCAAAATCAATCTATCTAAATATCTTTATCATTTCGAATTCAATTTCAAAAACAATTTGCATCAAATTTACACAAAATTGAAAAGGTGCTCCCGTATAGTCACAGTCTAAACGCATTTGCAAATAATTATGTGCGACATTTTCACTTATACTGTGCTTGGCGGCATTTTCACATTTTTCATAAGTTTTCACAAAATTGAAAAAAACGCTCCCATATAGTCACAGTATCAGGTTGTCACTTAGATTGTGATTAGTAAGGATATTTTTTTTGATATTTTGAACCCGAAAATTACATTTTCATAATAATTTACATAAAATTGAAAAACGCTCCTGTATAGTCACAGTCAAAACGCACTTGCAAATATATTTGTACCAGTTTGTCACTTAGATTGTGATCAGTGGGTAATTTATTTGAATTTAACCCAAAATTACATTTTTATAATTTACATAAAATTGGAAAGAGCTCCTGTATAGTCACAATCTAAACGCACTTGCAAATATATTTGTACCAGAGTGGCGCTTAGACTGTGATTAGAATGGGTATTTTTTTTTTGATATTTTGAACCCGAAAATTACTGTTCAATAATTTATTTATATTCAATTATAATTTAAAAAAAAATACATTTTTTGAAATGAAAAAAAAAGGATGAAATTTATAATAACTAGTGGTGCTTGGCATCGTGCCTTAAGGCAAATTGCTGGAACTTCCCGTACCATAATGAAATATTCGAGAAATATTAAATGTTTTCAAATAGATTATAATAAATGCTGTAACTTTCATTATTTGTATTTTATAGACGAAATATAAGAACTTATGAATTGGACGACGATATTTATATATGTTTACATAAAAAGTAAATAAACAAAACTTAATCAAGCGGAATTAGAATTAAAGGTTCTTATCTCATATTTTTTATAATCATATAAACTGAATTGCAAAATTATTTATTTAAAAGAAGAATTAAGAATTACATAAAATCCAATCATTTTCGATACGCAAAATAATTTCTTTTTGTAATTAAAAAAAAATCTCCAAAAGCAATCGTTTTGTCAACACAAGCAGAAAGATTTTGAATCATTCAAATCGGCTGCTTTGTTTTTTCAAAACTGCCATTTTTGCACATTTAGCTCAGTATCTCCGAAATGGCTAGACCTGCCTTTACCAAAACTATTATCATTAGGAATTGAATGTTTTTTGAATCATTCAAATCGGATGCTCCGTTCTCTCAAAAACTCGATTTCAATTTTCTGCACTCTTTGCTTCGTATTTCCAAAACGGCTGGACCTGCTTTTGCTAAAAACTAATCAGCACGTCTCTCTATCAATAGGAATCGAACGTTTTTTGAATTATTCACATCCATTTTTTCTAAGGCATGCCAAAATGTTCAGAAACCTTTGGAACGTAAAGATTATAAAAATTTCTACTGTCGATTTTTACAATATCTTACATATAATAATACAAAAGGTCTTGTTTGTTTCCATATATCCTTCTCTGTCGCTCTGTACCGTTGAGTATACGTCCCTCTCTCTCTCGCCTAAAGTGAAAAGTATAGCGCTCTCTCTTTCCTTCACTACGAAATATCTTTTGTCTCTCTCACGCAACAAAAAAGTTTTAAACGGACTCGTTTTCGAAATTTCATTTATATTACCAATAATAATTTCATCAACATTTGGATTGTTTTGTTTTTGATAAAAATACAAATAAGGGGACAATTCTGCCGTAATAGAGCTCATAACATAGCGTTGTCATGGCAACGTTATATTACCCTTCTCTCTTGGTACTAAAAACTGTGAAAATATCTATATAATACATTTTAAAATCAGGCATATTTTATATATAAACAAGCAAGGAATAATCTTATGATAACTGCATCATCGAAGTTTCTGTCATTATAACATTCTTACTTGCTTGTTTATATATAAAATACGCCTGATATATATATATAGACATTTTCACAATTTTCGCTGCCAGTAAACAGCATAAGATAGTGTTGCCATGATAATGCTATGTTATGAGACAGAATTACCCCATAAATGTACATAGGCATGAAATATATAATAATATTTTTGCTTCACCATTTAATTCACATTTGTTAATTTAAACTTTTGTTTTTGTAGAGCAAAAACAGAGTTCTGATATTTTCATGTTGTCAATAATTTCTAAAATGTTGTCATAAAATATGATATATCATTTATTCCACAAGGTGTTGGAATGTTTAATATAAATCGTGCTGAAATTTCAGTAACAGTTGCATGTTTTATCATTTTGCACTTTATATTTTTTTACACATGTATGTTTCAATCAGATTTATTAATATCAAATTAATTGAATCAATTCAATTATTCGTAGCATTTTGCAAATACACATGTTCTAATTTTTTTTAAAAATGTTT